GTAGTGGGGGTTGGGGGTCGTGTTGGGAATGTGTAGGTTGGGGGAAGGAGGCTGGGGGATGTGTTCGGGGTCAGATAGGGGGTTTTCGGTCCTTTAGGGGTATTTGGGGGGGAGTGTTAACGGGGGGTGAATTTTTTTTTTTTTTTCCCCGTTTGAGTGTTCGGTCACGTAGGCACACGTGTCTGAGGCCCAACGCGCAAATTTCGTTTTTCGGAATTCGACGCGACGCCCCCGTTTTTGCGTTTAACGCGATTCAACGGAGGCCCTAGGGCCCGTTAAACGGGTGTTCCGGCGTTTAACTCCGCCCGTTCTCTGTTGAAAGGATACACACGTGCTCGCTGCGACTCGCCACTCCAAAATACGTAATGCTCCTGTGGCGAGGGTTGAGGAGGTGGGCCATGCAATGTGCGGGCTTCAACATATGATTGACCCGCGCCTGGCAAGCCTGAACAATGATGTTGAGCTTCTCCATCGACGTCATGTTCAGTCTCGCCCTCGCCACCCTGTCAACCATGGCAAGCGCCCACGACCATATGTGAGTCATCACGCGCCCCCCTCTGTCCAAACGGCGTAGCAGCTGCATCACAAGCGTCATCAGCTCCACGATGTCCTCCACGTGCTCCCAAAATGGCGCGTACCGCACCTGATGACGCACCCACCTGGCCTGCAAGAAAACTGACCAACTCCATGCAGTCCGCAACCATTCGTCGCTCATCATCAACGCCTCCAACGCTCGGTGACGATCCAACAACCTTTCCAGCATCAAGTAGTGCGTCGCAAACCTCGTCTGTGCGGGGCACACAAGCTCCCTGCCTCGCCGCTGAGACGAGGGTGGCGCAGTGCTGGAACTGGCCGCAACTGCAGATGCGGAAGAGGGGTGGGCGGCAGAGAACCGTCGATAAAGGCTAGGTTCCCCCGTGCTCTCTGATGAAACGCACGACAACTCGAGCCCTAATGATGGTATCCTCCCTCTTCCCAAGCTTCCTGTTCGTGGCGTCCTTCGCGATGTCTGACAACAACAAGTTGCAGATATGGACCACACACGGAAGCCAAGTAATGCGACTGTACTTGACTTCCTCCTTCACGAGGAGCTTGGATACAGCCACATACGCGGACGCGGAATCAGTGCAAATGGCGTTGACGTTTTCGACACCGAACTTGTCGAACACGTCCTTCCATCACTCCACCACGGCCTCGGCTGTTTCCTGAACAGCACCGTCGCGCTGCACAGTCCTGAAAAGGTAGGCTCCCGTGGGCTATAAAACACCCGCGGACGCGTCCGCGGGTTCGATCTCGGATGGCGGACGGAGATGGGGCCGCGTCCGCGGCCGACCTGGTCTGCGCCACAGACCCGATTTTACCAGAATTTTCCTGAATTAAATAATAGGTTTAAAAAATATATATATATTTATATTGGATTGTAGGGAATGTTAAGCCCTACAACCCCATATTTGTTTTTCTGGAATCCGACTTTGTTTAGGATTTTTAAAAAATCCAAAACTAAATTCGATTTAAAAAAAAAATAAAAAAACAAAATGATTTTTTTTTTTGCCATTTTTTATCATAAGATATATGGTCCCTGAGTTCACCTGTATTATTTTAGAAATGAATTTCTGTTTTTTCCAGGGGTATGAGGTGTTTAAAAAAAATGCAGATGCAATATTTGAAAAAAAAGAAAGAAAAAACTTCAAAAAAAGGGTTTGATTGATTTATTGATTGATTGATTGTGAGTGAGTGAGTGAGTGTGTGTGTGTGTTTGTGTGTGTGTTTGTGTGTGTGTGTGTGTGTGTGTGTGTGTGTGTGTGTGC